CCCTCACGTTTCACAGATCTTTCTTAGATAACACAACCATCAAATGAAGTTTGTCAAAAAAGAAAGAGATCAATACTTTTCTTGATGTGAGTGACTTAAGTGACCCTTTTCCAAATATTCAACCGACATCAACTTTATTAAGGCTAGTATTTCTGTATTTGAAGTGAGAATTAGAAGTTGTAGGATGAACTGAGGAGTCAATTAATGGACTAGACACACATGATGGAGGAGGGGAGGAGATGGGAGACGGATCCATCAAGTCACTTCTTGTTTCTTCTATTTTTTGAAGACTTAACCCAAACAAGACTACCAAGATATCCAGATGTGCTTTTGGTGGTGTCGGTGAATAACATGAATTACTATGTCTATATCGTGCGGCGCCTCTGATTTCTAGCTGTGTGCTAGGGTTTTTCCATTCTTTTCATTTGTTCTAATGAGTTACAAGGATATTCGGTGAAGAGAAAGAGAGAGAGAAAGGCGAAAGAGTTGAGGGTTTTTGCTCGACGGCGGATTCGCTGGAAATTAAGGTTTGTTCTTGAACAAAGACGGCGGAGTTTGGGGCTGAGCAACTTGATTTTCTGTTAATATATTTCAATGTATTTTCAACGTATCACGCTGTATTTTCATGTATTTCATTGTATTCATTGTCTTTTTTTCATTGTAATTCAATGTATCTCGTTGTATTCCATGTATTTCATTGTATTCACTATCTTTTTTCATTGTATTTCAATATATCACGCTGTATTCTATGTATTTTATTGTATTCACTGTCTCGCTATATGCCATGAATGTATTCGTATGTTTTTTTTAATTAATATAATTTATGTATTCAGATGTATTATATAATTTTTCTAAAGATTGCTATGTTTTTGGGGTATTTTTCTGTTGAGAATCTTTTTTATAACTGGAAATACAAACTTTGTATGTTATAATTGAGTTTGTTGAGTTATATTCGGAGTCTATTATATTAATTGATTCACTTTCCGTTTAAAAATAGTGTAATCCCCTGTTTCACGCCGTGAATACAGTCGAATACAATAATTTGTCCAGCTGTAATCCCATGTTTCACGCCATGAATACAGTCGAATACACTCGAATACAATAACTGATTAGCTGGACTTCCCTGATTCACGCCTACTTTTGCTACTGTATTCATGAATACAGAGCTTAAATACATCTAATACATCTTATAACAACAGAAAACGTATCTACAATCCGTAATATAGCAAATGGTATCTATAAATAGCTAATTACCACTAAAAGATAGTGCTTTATGAAAATTTCTCTTTGATGTTCAAGTAAGGAAAAGAAAGGCCCATTTGGTTTGTAATGTCATAAATGTTTGGAACAACAGTAATCTAATTGCTAATTGTTTATATCATATGATCGGAGTACTGTTGATTTATTGTCACAATTTAACTTGTATATACACGTTAGGGTTTGGGAATATGGAGTTTTCAGGCTTTAGTTCCTAGTACAAATGGGTATCTACTTTGCATTATTTATTGTATAGGGTAAAATATGCTATGCCAAGTGGTCGCATGAGAGAGTGACACGTGGAGCGAAAAACAGAGGATAGGTAGCACCGAAGGCAACAGTTCCGCTTGCCACCGGAAAGAATGATACTCATGAAGATGCAATAAACACCCTCCTCCCGGTAGCATTCAATGGATAATATTCCACAACATTTAGTGCACTGCCCGTTACAGAGAATTTGTCATTTATGCTCACCGTTACACCTTCTTCAATGGCCCTCATAATTGACATTAAATAAGGGCATGATCCTAGGACCTTGTACCCTAGGTGCAGCTATAAATAGTGAGCGCTGATATCATTGTAAGGACACGAATTTTTTGGCAAACTTATGCTATAATCGATCCAAAGCTCTATATATTTTTACATTCTTATTCCTTGATTTCATCGATGTTGTGTCCGGAAGCCTCGCTCCCGGAATCATTGTTTCTGCTATTTTATCTTCATTTCAAGGCTAAGTATCGAATATTTCTTCAATTGTTTTATTATTTCAGGATCGAGTTAATTCACTTGTCTAGATACCACATATACCGTACCATTTTACGGGTAAACAGTTTGGCGCCTGCCGTGGGGCCTAGGCAGCCGTGTAATTAAGTTGATCATTGCCTCTTTTACTAATGTATTTTGATTATTTGTCTTAGCAAAAAAAAGGCAGATAATGGTGTTAACAACGCGCACAATCCTGAGGCTTAAGAAGACCAGCCTCATCATGAGGATTCAGTCAGTGACACCCATAATGAGGGGAACGATGCTTCGCCGGTCCACGACATGCGGTACCCACGACATGTTCGGGAGGCGACTCCCGATGATGCTGAAGATGAGTGATGTGTGGCTATAATTCATGGTTTAGCACATTATATGACTTGCGTTTTATATGCTTTGATGTTAAATTACACTTTGTTTGAGCGCAATGGAGACTATTTTATGTGTAGGTGCATTGGAAATGAAAGTAGAGCTAAAGGGATGCTTAAACGTCGAATGTGCACTTGAGAACGCTAAATAGGAGAAGCCAGGCCAAACCTAGCTCGACCAGGCTTTAGCCTGGCGAGGCCAGCTTAAAGCCAGGCCCAACCAGGAGTTAGCTTGGCGACGCCAGCTTAAAGCCAGGCTGAGGCAGGCGTTAGCCTGGCGATGCCAGGCCTAAGGCCAGGTCCAATCCGACTTTTGAAGGGTTAAATCGTTTCCCGGCTTGACTAGGAGTTGACCTACACGTTTAGGGCTTGTCCCAAACATTAAAATAGACTCAAAAATGCCACTTTGAAGGACTTTTGCAACCGGAGGCAAGAATAGCTCATGGAACACTACTTGGGAGTTGGAATCATTGATTTCTACATCTCTTTATCCTTACTCTGTAATTTAATTATGCACATTACTTTGGATATTCTTACTATGAGTCTGAGTAGGTAAACTCATAATCTAGGGTTTTGATGGAACCTGTTGAAGGATGACTTTCTCATTACGTTAATATAGATTTGCCATAGTATTCTCTCTATTTATTCAACTATATGCTTGTTGTTGTTGATTGAAAAGCCCTCAATTAATTGTTCCTATTTAGTGTGCATTACTCGGGAGAGAGTGCATATTTAGGTAGTTGTTGAACATCATCACTCCTAACGTATATGAGGGATCAATACGAAGGGTTTAAAAGTGGGATTAGGGATAACGAAACCTTGGGTGCGATCTAAGTGAGCTGTACTTAAGGCTAGCTAGCGTAATTCGGGAGAATATGTCTGGTATATTGTTGTAATTACTCGGGAGAGAGTTACGACAGTCAGAGTGTTCATGATTGATAGAGAACACTTAGGCAAATTTATAGCAAACATAGCGGAAAGGATTCCGACAATAGGGGAAATCAGAACCTTAGATCATTCCCATTCTTGCTTACAAATCGTCGGTAGTTAGTTCTTAATTACTGCATTTTCATTTACGTAATATTAGTTAGTAAACATCCAACCTATTATTAAATATCTTCGAAGATTGAATACGTTGTGTAAGTCCATTAGCTGTGATTGATAGGCTAATTCCTTGTGGGATTCGGCTCCGGACTTGTTAACCGGAATATATTTGCAGCGACCGCTTTGTCCTTTTTATAAGGCATAGTTGGGCATGATCAAATTTTGGCGCCGTTGCCGGGGAATTAACGGTGTTATTTATTGCAGTTAAAAGAAGTGCTAAAATTCTTAGTGTAGTCAATTTTCTTCAACTTAAAATGAATACATTGAAATTCTAACGTTTGTAGTCTGGGGTGTTACATGTGCATGCCTAGAAACTCCTCAAGAACTGGTGAATTATTCGAAGCATTATCAGATCCTGAGAAAGTTTTCAAGGCATTGAATCGTGCAAACAAGAAAGGCAAACAACAACAGAACTCAACAGAACAAATCGAACCAGACATGGGAGACGAAGTAAACAACAAAAATAATGGGAATGACCCGAACAATCAGTGTGTGGTGCCGCTTGTGCCAGAAGCAACATTGCACGATTGGCACAACCCACCGCTAACAACTTAGCAACTGCAATTATAGTCCCTCAGATACAAGCAGAATCATTCCAAATCACAAATAACATGCTACATTTGTTGTAGAACAAGGGACTGTTCTCAGGGTCATACGTTGAAGATCATCATCAGCATCTGAAGAATTTTCTGTCGATCTGTGCCACGCAAAGGCAACAGAACGTGACAACGGAAGCAATACGACTGTTGCTGTTTCCATTCTCAGTGACGGGAGCAGCTCAGACTTGGCTTAATTCACTCCCCATAAACTCCATCACTACTTGGGAGGAATTAGTCAAGCAATTTGTGAACAAATTTCACCCCACCCAATAAGACTGCTCAACAAATTGATGAGATATTGAGCTTCAAACAGAAACCAACAGAGACATTACAAGAAACGTGGGAGAGGTTCAAGGGTCTGCTGGTTATATGTCCACATCATGGTATTTCGGAGCAAATGCTGGGGCAGAGGTTTTACATGGGTTTGGCAGACAGCTTGAAGGCCAATGTTGATGCTTCAGCGGGTGGAGCACTTTTGAGCAAAACATTCAGAGAAAGTAAGATCCTACTGGACAAGATGGCACAAAACTCAGGATCGACGACAAGAAACGCTCCAATCACTCCGGTAGTTCACTTAGTGGCTTTAGACCCCACTAACTCCATAGATGAAAATATAGCCACTCTAGTGACACAAATGAGCATCCTCACCAAAAAGGTTGATGAATCAGGCCAGAAGCAGCAGGTACACATAGTTGATGTAACTAATGGGGGCTTATGTACATCATGCATTAATCAACCATATATCTGCTCGTGGAGTGCGGAAGGTGATAACCAACAATATCAAGAGAACATGAATTATGTGGCCAACTACGGGGGACAGAGGCAAGGTGGTCAGAATTGGGGTCAGCAGAATCAACAATATAGACCAGCTCAGCAGCAGTACAACAACAACAATAATCTGGGGGCCATGCGACCACAGGGTCAAGTGGTGCCTTACCAAAGGCAACAGGGTTACAACCAGCAAAATCAGCAGCAGGCTTATCAACAACCTCAACAACAACAGACTGTGAGACACGAAGATGGGTTTGCTAAACTTGAGGGAATGATGCAACAAGTGATTGGGTCCACTGGAAAACTAACTGACTAGGTAGACTCACATGAATCAGCGATAAAGAATATTGAGATCCAATTAGGATAGGTTTCGATGGCCTTGGATAATCATCCCCACGGAACGTTACCTGCAGACACGCAAATAAATCCAAAAGAGCAGGGCCCGAAGCAGCTTATGGCAGTGAGTCTACGAAATGGTAGAGACCTAGATCTGGAGCAAGAAATTGCTCGTGAAAGCAGACCTACTGAGACACTGGTGCCAGTGCCCATTGAGATAGATGATTCAGCAGGGTTAACTGAGGTGACGGTACAGCATGCGCAAGAGAACGCCAACAAAGAAAAAGAGGTTCTGAAAGAGACTGAGGTTGCACCGGAACCGATAGTAGAAGCAGTGCCTGAACAAGAAAAACATCAAATCACAGGAAAGAAGCGACCTCTGATCGCTGCCTACTCCGCACCAATAAAAGGCAGCAAGAGAGGGTCGCAATAGCTTTTACCCGATATGAGGATCGGGATCGAATTCCTCAGAGAGCTAGAAATTGGAGCTGAGTATCTATCTAGACTAGAGTCGTGTAATTGTTCTAATTATCACTTCCAACATTTTTGGGTTTTTCAATTATAAACTACTATTATCAAACTACTAATTGAAACTAGATTGTGCTACGGAATAATAGCTAAAGTTGTATCTAATGGGAAGAAGGGCACTAGGGTCGTGACATCACCTAGGTGGCTAATTGACGGGTAGATGTTACTAAGGTTTGATTGACATAATTGGGGCTTATGCTATAACCGTTGCACAATTTTACCCACTCTCACACCTCTCGGTAGAGAGAGTGATTTTGCCCAATTGACTCTCTCAAGACCATTTGGGTAGGCAAATTAGATCAAGCAACTAGGGTTCAAGTAGGGTGATTACTCTCTCGAGGTTTAACCCATTAATTGGGACTATCATTTCTTATGAGTCCATCCCAATTCCTTGTTGGGTCAATTTTGGAGACTTAGACTCTCTTTCTCAAGAAGAGTCAAATCCACAAAGCATAAATCAGTGTTTTCAACCACCAATTCATAGATGAAAACATAAAATCAGCCCAAATAGCAAACACCCATAATCAATCTAACCCTAGATGGAAACACCCATCAATTACCCACACTAGGGTTGAGCCACAACCCTAGCTAATGGGTTTAGCTACTTATGCTTGAACAAGAAAATAGAGAAATAGATGAATTCCCAACCCGAGGTTAATGGGAATTCACTCATCTCTCTCAAGAAAAAAAATCACAAGTCCGGCTCTAGGTACCATATGCTTGCCCCTTATGTAAGTATCCACTAATGTAAGCTCCATTCAACTCAAGATCATATAGGTTTTTTTGTGGAGTCATTGTGAAGGCTTTTGGTTCAGGGTAGAAAATGTTTTGGTCTAAGTGGTTTCCATCTTCCCTTAGCTTTGCTTTAGGCCCAAGTGAAGCTTTGCTTGAGGTACCCTTAACTATAAACTACCAAAAACAAGAAAAACAAAAACGGACTCAAACGCTTAAGAAGATTGTCACGCCATCTATCATTGGGAAGAGCCATCCGGTTCACACAATACTCCACCTTTGGAAAGAATCGTGGCATTAAGAAAACCAAAGGCTTATTAAAAGCGTCAAAACAAAACAAAAAGCTACGAGCCTATATAAGAAGCTAAAAACGAAATTTTTTTTACGAAAAATAGAAAATAGAATGAATATGTACAAACGGGGAATGAATATACAACGGGGCTGATCATCGCCTTGGTAAGCTATTGCCTCACCAACTAGCTAATCAGACGCGAGCCCCTCCTCGGGCGGATTCCTCCTTTTGCTCCTCAGCCTACGGGGTATTAGCAGCCGTTTCCAGGTGTTGTTCCCCTCCCAAGGACAGGTTCTTACGCGTTACTCAGCGGGTGCTGTAGCGAAACTGATTGCAAAAGAGGGGAAATCGGCCATATTAAAATTACCTTCTGGGGAGGTCCGTTTGATATCCAAAAACTGCTCAGCAACAGTCGGACAAGTGGGGAATGTTGGGGTGAACCAGAAAAGTTTGGGTAAAGCCGGATCTAAGCGTTGGCTAGGTAAGCGTCCTGTAGTAAGAGGAGTAGTTATGAACCCTGTAGACCATCCCCATGGGGGTGGTGAAGGGAGAGCCCGGGGCTTTAGCCGTCTTTGGTTTCATTGCTTGTTGTTTTGTCTGGTTCAATAATACCGCTTGATGAATATATACAATAATGTAACTTTATATACAGACCAAAAGGAAGATAAAAAGTACGATGAAAGTAACTAAATGTAAAGTTATATACAGACCAAATGAAAAATCAAGAAAGCATAAAATAGTATCAATATTTACAGTCATCCAAAAATGAAGGGCGCACCCCCTCGAATAAAAACTGGCATTGTCCCCAATGCCAACTAGTCTAAACAAGCACCGAAAAGAGAGAAAAAGGATATAGATGACTCCCTAATCCGTATCCATCTGCATGGGATCATGAATGGTCCCCGGGTCCTCTGTATGCGCGGGAACCTCAGACTGGTTCCCGGTCTCCTGCTGCTCAGCTGCTGGGACTGGGGCCTGGACCTGGACAGGCTGAATATCAGGGGCATCTTGTGGCTGACTAGAGGAGGCCTCCGGTGGGTCTGCCAACTAGATGATCGCCTCATCTGCACTGGGGAGCTTCCTCTTCTTCCTAGGAAGCATCTGTGTCTGCTCCTGCTGTGGCTCTGTTGCCGGGATTGCTGCTGGAGCTGGATCCTCAAAAAGCAAGTCTAAGGGCAGCTGGTCTGCCTTCAGCTTGTCCACATCTGCTCTAAGCTCTTTCACAGACTCCTTGGAAGCCCGTGTTTTGTGCAGTTTCCTATGCTCCCTGGCAAGCTCCTTCAGAGCCTTGTCGTGTGAATCCACTGCCTTAGACAACGCATCCTGAGTACCGATGATCTTTTCCTGGTTCTCCAGGATCTTCTTCAATGTGTCCTTAATGGACTGTGGAATCTGTGCTGGCTGTGGTGCTGACTGAGCCGCGATGGTAGAAGACAGTGTAGACAACTTGGATGACACAGCTGACATCCAGTTGTTTAAGCTATGAAGTGTCTGGCTCAGCTAGTGGGCAGTGATAGGCCTCGGACCAGCTGAAGTAGAAGGACCAGCAGTGGTGGAAGGTCCTGGAGGCAACTCAACGGTGGTGGACGCAGGATCAGTGGAGGGCTCTACCACAACCGGCTCTTCAGACTGGCCAATTGGAGCAGAGGTAGGCGACTTGTAATTCTTGTCCTTGGGGTTGTCTGGCCCCTTCAAACTGTACCACGAAAACGGAGCCACAGGGTTGACCTTGATATCAAAAGGTCTCTTCTCCACCTGTAGGTCCCGAAAATACATAGTGAGGGTGTTGGGAAAAGGATAGTTCCGGTCATGCTCAAGCCCTACTGCAGAGATGACGCGGGACATAACATTGCCCACGTTGATAGGATATCCCGCCATAATAGATACAACAAGAACAGCTCGGGCAAGTGGAATAGTCTGATCATGGGTAGTGGGGTCAAGCCGACTGCACACAAAAGTCAACCACCCCCTAGCCTCAAAGTTAAAGGTCTTCCGAAATATTTTGGTCCCTGCTTGCAACCACTCTGGAACAGTACCCGGGATTGCCAGGTATGAAGCTAACCACGAACGAACCTCTTCGCCCATTGCCAACTTTTCATTGTAAAGGGTCTCATCTTCGTCATCGAACCCCAAGTATTCATTGAGTTCCTTCCCAGTAAATACCACCTTTTTGTTCCGCTCTTTGGTCACTTTAGTGCCCTTCAAGATGTGGGCCACATTGCTATAGAACTCCTTGACCATGTGCTCATTCGCCTTTACACATTCACTCCGAAAATTCGCCCAACCCACTCGAGTTTGAAACTGTCTATGCACATTTGAGTGTAGGGGTAAAAGGTCTCACTCAATAAAACTCCTCTCAAGAATCAGCTTTAGTAGTGGCCACCATTCCCTAAACTTGTAGAACGCTACCTGACTGACGAACCTATCCTCCCAAGCTGTGGGATTTCTAGTTCGGTCAACACCCCCAACCTGAGGTTCACCACCCCCCTGCACCTCTCTAGCACCTTGAACCTCCTCCTCGCCTCTTTTTGCACTCTCCCCAGACAATGAAGCTGTGGGGGAGGTGGAGTAGTCCCCACTACCGGATGCCGAGCCCTCAGATGAGTCATGCACAACATTGATTGGCTGTCGGACAGTGGGTGATGGCGGAGGAGTATCATCAGTCAATCGAAAGTCGGTGACGATATGAGTTGGGACTGAGTCTGAGGAGATGTCTTCGGAGGGCACATACTCACTCCCCGAAGAATGGGAAGCAGCTCTATCTGCGGCTTTTATCAGCTTGCGGGTTTGTTTTATGTTTTTTCGAGCTTGGGGAGTGAGTTTGACTACTCTCTTTCCTTTGCCCCCTCGGGAGGAATCACCTCTCCCGGGTTGTTTTGTTCCTTTGCCTCCTTGTTGTCTAACCATTATCTGCAAGCACACACATCTAGCTTTGTTAGTGTCAGCAGAGGCAGTGAATCAGTTGTAGAAAATGAATTACAGAACAGAAGCCCAAACGTTCAGAACATGTTGCAGACACAGTGCACCGCGGCCCACACAAAAAGGAGTGCGGTTCGCACAAGTATAAGGTCTCTGAAACATACTCTCTGAATCTCACCACCGCGGCCCGCACAAAATGGTACCGCGGTCGCGGTGGGCCAGTGCGGACCATACAAAATGAAGTGCGGCCGCACTGGACTATGGACACCTCTCTAAATCTCATCACTGCGTTCCGCACGAAGTGGTAATGAGGTCGTGGCGAAGCAACCGCGGACCGCACAATCACGACCGCAGTCCGCGGTGGATGTCCAATCCTGGCACTGAGTTAGGGTTTCCAATTTTTTGCAAATTTGTTCAAGTGTTTACCTAGAGTTTGTCCCTACTCAATTACCCAGTTCAACAAGTTCACCAAACACACAAAAACCAACATTTACACTAACCTAAGCTAATAATTAAAGACAAATGGGAAGAAGAAGAAGCTATGGCTACTGTAAATGAAACAAAAACTAAAATTAAGCACACAAAAATGATTGAGATGTTACCAGATGTGTAGATATAATGCAAGTAATCACACTAAGCAAGATTTACGGTCAAGAGAGAGGATGAACAGTAAACAAAGAGCTCTGAGAGTTTAGGGTTCGAAAAGGGTAAAAGGAGACCATTGAGGTCTATTTATAGAGAACTAGTGGGACCCAACCTTGCCTACTAGCGCGGCCACACAAAACGGACCGCGGACCGCTCTGGGTTTGTTCAAAAGAAGTTTTAGAAGGCAACCTCTACGGTCCGTACAAAACAGACCGCGGCCGCGACGGTCCACCGCGGACCGCACTAAATGGAATGCGGCCGCGGTGGCAAACTTCAGAGAGCACCTCACTTGGCTTTCACCAGTACGGACCGCACAAAGTGCAATGCGGCCGCACTGGCAGCTTCAGAGACTGTTCCATTTTTTCCAAAATGTTTTGCACTGCATCTACCAAATCCCTGCAACATCTCACAACCAATTAGTCCAAAAATCAAACCTAAACCACAAATAAAATCAAAGAAAACAAGAAGAAAAAGACACGGGTTGCCTCCCAAGAAGCGCCTGATTTAACGTCGCGGCACGACGCGGGTTACCATCACATCATTTGAAATGAACCATGTGAGCACGTGATTTTTGCCCTATATGAATTACTCCCACAGTTTCAAAATAAAATAATTTCTTTTTATTATTTGCAATTTTGTGGATTTTTGTGGCATTTTTCTGTTAATTGTTTGCATCTTGTTTGTGCATTTTAATTAGTGAAAAATACAAAAAATGTGTTGCATTTGCATTTAGGATATAACTTTGCATTTTAGGATGAATTGGAAAGTCAAGTGTTTTATAAAATGTAAAAATCACAAAAAATAGTTATTTTGCACATTTTAATTTTGACTTTGATTTTGAGTAGTTTTTCTTTCAATTAATTATGATAATTATCATTTAGTTTTAATGTTTTTAGTTAAGTAGGTTTAAGGAATTAATATAGGTTTTTATTTTAATTTTGAAAAAAAGGAAAGAAAAGAAAAATAAGAATTGAAGAGAATTGAATTAAAAGAAGAAGGCTGAAAGTTTGGGCCTTTTTTCTAATTTCACCAAGCCCAAACGATTTTCCACCAATTACCCGTGTAACCCAGCCCAAATCTTTCCTACACCCGACCCATTCCCAAACAAATACACAGACTAATCACTCACAAAATCTGAGCCCTAATCCCAAGCGCAGAGACGGGAACTGTTCTTCTTCTCCAGAGAGAACACTCGAATCCAGCTCCAAATTCCATCCAAATCCATGGCGAGTGAGCCTCAAATCTTTCCCCACGCGTTCCTCCATCTATCCTCTTACCATTCTAACGATTTCTGACGCGAATATTCCTCATCGTTTCCTCTCACTCGAACCTCGCGTGCTTCATCTCTCTCCAACAAACGAAGGATTGATGGGGGTCGTAGGATTAGTGAGGTGTAATCCTCTTCGTCCATCTGTCCCAAGTTAGTTGATTTCAGAGAGATTCTTTGTGAGAGGATGGATTTTTTTGGATTTGGGGGATTTTCGAATAAGAAGGAAAAGAATCGAGATTTTTTCGGAGGCTATATAAGGTAAGGATTTTCAGAAATTAGTGGAGATTTCTGGAGGGGTAAAATTTTTGAGAGGAAAAATGAGGGTTCTAAAAAGTCTTTCTTCTTCTCTATTGTTCATCTTAGTTTAATTTCAGTTACTATAAAGAAAAATACAAAAAAATTTGATTTTCGTTTGGTGTTTAATCTGAGTCTCTTTGTTCTCTGTATTTGGAAATTCAAAAATTTTCATTCTTCACATGGTGAATCTGGTTTGAACTTGAAGTGTAAGTTCGTTGTTCTGAATTTTATTTTGAGTTAATGGATGTCGACTGAATGTTGTTGGTTTCGAGTTGCTCCAAAGCTGTTTGCTTAGCTGCTGACCCGCGAGTTCGTTGCGATCTCTGTTTGGACTCGCCTCCTCTAAGAATCGTCGTAACCCTTCAATTGCATTAATCAAAAGTTTATTTTCAAGTTCACTTCCAAACTCTCTTATTTTGCTATATTGCGTGAGTTGAAATGTTTGTTTGTTTGAACCAAACCTGAGAAGTAAAATATC